GGGGGGAGTTATGTCTTCAAGCAGGCTGCAAGCAAATGGACACAGAGGTGCTCAGGAGCTGGAAGTATTTTTTGTTTCTGTTATACATAACAGCAAGCAAGGTTTATGTAAGTTTATGTAACTTTGCTTGTAAAGTTTCTTCTAGATGAATACCTCCCTACCACAGACAGTTTGCGGTATATTCCACAACTGCATTTCTCGAAGCCCTAAATCACAACTGAACTGCTTTTATCAGCTTGCCATCTTCATATGAGTTTGTTTTTCATCATCATTCATTTAGAGTCCTTAGAACAGGAATGCAAAATATTTTTAAAAAAGAAAGAATTTGAAACACGTGACCTGACAATTAGATTCATATTTTAAGTCCATTGTTAACAGAAGAATGAAAAATATCTTAGTGGAAACCTACCTGTTACTATGATGGTGACAGCATCGAAGCACTCGCCTGCTGCAGACTCACACCAGTAAACTCCAGTGTCTGCTGGGTAAAGGTCACTGATGTTGCAGTGAGATTCATCTATTCCATTTGAGGATGAGGGACATGTTGTGTTTATGTATAAGGACGTGTTCCTCTTAATACGCCACACTGAGGAGTTGTCCTGCTGCCCACAGCTCATGGAGACGGACTCATACTGGAAGAACTGGGATCTGTTGGGAATGATTCTTAGAGAAGCTGCACAAAACAGATAAATGATGGAAAGCTCAGATTTTTAATTAAACATGTTACACATGCACAAATATATTTAGGTTATTAGTGGAAACATTCTTATTTACTGACACAAAGGCATACTTTGCAGGAATGATAATTTATGAGTATTTTCATACTATTGTCCATGTCTATGAAGTTGAAAATAAAGTGCCTAAACCATACATTAACCCTTTAAGACCTACCATAGAACCAAGTCCGCCAGAGCTTATATTATATTTTTACATGGTGTGGTGCCATTTTTGGGAGCATTTCAAGTTGCTATACATCAATGCTACCATTATAGCCCAAATTTTAATAATGTGTCTGCATTAAGTGCATAGTAATTACATAAATTGCAAAAAAAAGTGCAATAAACTGCAAAAAAATTGAAAATCGTTTTTGCTTTTTTAACATATATTTGTAGTTAGAGAAATTTAAGAGGCTTATCCCTCAAAACTGTAAATACAAAAAAGTTGCACAAACTAGTTTCCTACCACAGGAAATTTATTTTGAGTGTCTTCATAGTTTTATTTTTGAAATACACCAATTTTTATATACTGCAGGAAAAACGAAAATAAATATTGTAGTGCAAATTTGCAAAAAAGCAGCATATGCATCAAAATAAACTATTTCCAGCAGTGCAATATGAGTCCTAAGCATCCCAGAAACGACACAGAAAGTCATAAAGTCAAACATAAGTTTTAAAAACACCAGTACAGGCTCATGAGGCCCTGATGATAAACAAACTACATTTCCACAACAATGACGTCACTTCCGCTTTTGGGCAGGTAATGGCGGACATGCGAAAGTTCGCTCTGACGTCTATTCCACCGTAGGAAGTGTTACAAACAGCTGATCGGATCGGCAAAGCGTGTTTCTGGAATATTATGTTTTTGTTCCTGGAAGCGCTTTTTATGCAGTTTTTGCAAAGCTTTATGTGGAAGGAAACCGTGACCTAGGACAAGCTGATGGCACAAGATGTAAGTACAACTCCTCCGGTTTCATATGCAAAAAAAATTACTGCGCTAGCTTACGTGGTTGCAGAGCTACCGGGATTTAAAAATAGTTACGCAAAACAGAGCGTGCCAGCTCTGACCGGTTTTAAAGGGTTAAATCAAAGGTTGCTACAATGAATAAAGTTGGTCTAATTTAGCCTTTAAGACTTTAAACATCCTTGAACTAAAGTTGAATATTTTCTCAAAACACACCAGAAAAAAATAAATAAAAACTAGTAAACTTTAAACATCAAAATTCAAATATTTGCTACTTCTGCTAAATCGTGTCACATTGCCTCCAGTTGTGAGAGCAGATGTGAAAGTGAACTGTAAAAGAAACCACTTCCTCATCACAGCTCGGACTAAATTTTGACGTTATTTGAATTTTATTGTCTTTATGGAGCACAAATTAAACACATTAGTCAGCCGCTAAAGTGGATTTCAGACGGCACTCACATATAAATACAGTACTCACCAACAATAGCACAAAGTGTGATGACCTCCATGATACTTGACTGCTGATATACTCACTGGCTCAATGGTGGCCTGAGAAGGTTAAGTCACACCTCTGTCACAGAGGCCACAGCTTCCTGCTGGTGTGGATACGTAAAGCATCACATCTCACAGTCAGGGGTTGTGGCTCCACCTTATTTACTTCAAATCAACCACCTTCACCTAAACAAGTACAAAAGCCTAACCCTTTGTGTGTATCACATTAAATGTGTAACAATTAAGATGTACAGTGGGGCAAAAAAGTATTTAGTCAGCCACCGATTGTGCAAGTTCCCCCACCTAAAATGATGACAGAGGTCAGTAATTTGCACCAGAGGTACACTTCAACTGTGAGAGACAGAATGTGAAAAAAAAATCCATGAATCCACATGGTAGGATTTGTAAAGAATTTATTCGTAAATCAGGGTGGAAAATAAGTATTTGGTCAATAACAAAAATACAACTCAATACTTTGTAACATAACCTTTGTTGGCAATAACAGAGGTCAAACGTTTACTATAGGTCTTTACCAGGGTTGCACACACAGTAGCTGGTATTTTGGCCCATTCCTCCATGCAGATCTTCTCGAGAGCAGTGATGTTTTGGGGCTGTCGCCGAGCAACACGGACTTTCAACTCCCGCCACAGATTTTCTATGGGGTTGAGGTCTGGAGACTGGCTAGGCCACTCCAGGACTTTCAAATGCTTCTTACGGAGCCACTCCTTTGTTGCCCGGGCGGTGTGTTTTGGATCATTGTCATGTTGGAAGACCCAGCCTCGTTTCATCTTCAAAGTTCTCACTGATGGAAGGAGGTTTTGGCTCAAAATCTCACGATACATGGCCCCATTCATTCTGTCCTTAACACGGATCAGTCGTCCTGTCCCCTTGGCAGAAAAACAGCCCCATAGCATGATGTTTCCACCCCCATGCTTCACAGTAGGTATGGTGTTCTTGGGATGCAACTCAGTATTCTTCTTCCTCCAAACACGACGAGTTGAGTTTATACCCAAAAGTTCTACTTTGGTTTCATCTGACCACATGACATTCTCCCAATCCTCTGCTGTATCATCCATGTGCTCTCTGGCAAACTTCAGACGGGCCTGGACATGCACTGGCTTCAGCAGCGGAACACGTCTGGCACTGCGGGATTTGATTCCCTGCCGTTGTAGTGTGTTACTGATGGTGACCTTTGTTACTTTGGTCCCAGCTCTCTGCAGGTCATTCACCAGGTCCCCCCGTGTGGTTCTGGGATCTTTGCTCACCGTTCTCATGATCATTGTGACCCCACGGGATGAGATCTTGCGTGGAGCCCCAGATCGAGGGAGATTATCAGTGGTCTTGTATGTCTTCCATTTTCTGATGATTGCTCCCACAGTTGATTTTTTCACACCAAGCTGCTTGCCTATTGTAGATTCACTCTTCCCAGTCTGGTGCAGGTCTACAATACTTTTCCTGGTGTCCTTCGAAAGCTCTTTGGTCTTGGCCATGGCGGCGTTTGGGGTCTGACTGTTTGAGGCTGTGGACAGGTGTCTTTTATACAGATGATGAGTTCAAACAGGTGCCATTCATACAGGTAACGAGTGGGGGACAGAAAAGCTTCTTACAGAAGACGTTACAGGTCTGTGAGAGCCAGAGATTTTCCTTGTTTGAGGTGACCAAATACTTATTTTCCACCCTAATTTACGAATAAATTCTTTACAAATCCTACCATGTGGATTCATGGATTTTTTTTTTCACATTCTGTCTCTCACAGTTGAAGTGTACCTCTGGTGCAAATTACTGACCTCTGTCATCATTTTAAGTGGGGGAACTTGCACAATCGGTGGCTGACTAAATACTTTTTTGCCCCACTGTAAAGACTTGTGCATTAATACTGTTCAAAATGCCACGATCCTGGCACGTCCTCCCACCCCAAAATGATCCTGTTTTTCACTGAGATTAATTGTTATCATTCATTTAGAGCTGAAAGATAGATTTTGGTTACATATTGTCATGACCCAGCTCCTAGTAACTAATTAGCAACCAATCGTCATAATCATTTATATATTTATGTTTATAGTGACCAACTGCCATTCTCATAAGTGAGAAAAAACAGCCTCTGAAAAACATAAAGATACCCATATGGAAAAGATAAATATATAAATCTATAAAGGTTTGTATCTGTCTTGTGTAAAACTTGTATGAAAAGCATACAAGAGTGAAAACAGATATAAGATCCCTTGAAAAATTACATAAATGGAACTTGTATGTTTTGGATACTTACTTAAACAGTATATGAAAGTGTCCACTTTCATGAGTAAATCATATAAGCCTTATATGATTCACTATATGAAGCAAGCTAAAGCTGATGTAAGTCTTTTTATAAGTTTTTATTTTCCATATGGGTATGTAAAACAGAATTGTCAGGATTGCACGTGTGTGTGTACATACTATTCATTCCTGTCTCTCAAGAGACGTTAGGCAGGGTGTCACAAAGATATTATCTTGTGGGGAAGATTTTGTACTGAAGATGTTACTACAAAGAAGCTTATACAAAAAAGGACAATTTAACAAAACAAAAACAAGCCCCTATTTTGTCTTTAGTGTCATCTCATTGGCTGATTTACTGTGTAAAACTGTAATACTCACTGAAGACAAAAACACCTGAAATAACCTCTTAGTATATTTTAAATGGGAACTCAAATTCTGCATCTGGACTCCAGTTAAAGGCAGATGAACTGTATATAAAAAAACAAGATACAACATGTATAAAAGTACACGAAAAGAAGTCTGTAGTGGAAGCATGTTGAACACTGAAGAGAGTATTTTGATCCAAAACCATTGCTGTTATCAGTAAATCATGTGTAAAGGCAAAATTTAGGATGGATCCATGTTTTTAGGCATATGAATCATTTGTGGACATATTTGATATGAGAGCTAACCCAAAATTGATAAGAGGCTAAATTATGAGGGGTCTGTTTAATTTTTAGAGTTAATGGGCCCAGAAAAGTTCATTTCCCATTTTTTCAGTTGTACAAAGAGTAACTATCACAATAAAAATGTATTTAATTTTTATTGTTTTATTTATGTAATTTGTATTTCAGTGATGTTTTTTTCTTAAAAACACATTTTAAAAGTCTTTGCAGGCTTTGTGAGTCAGCTGATGGTGAGGCATTTATTTACAGACGAGTCTTTGGAGCCTCAGAAGAGAATAAAGAGGATCTCTTCCTCAGTGGTTCCCCTGAAAAACAAGGAACATAATTCATGAAAAGCGTGAACCACACCTTACACTTACACGTTTTTATACCACCTACATGAAGTCTCACAGTCTGCACACACTGTGAGACTTCATGTATGCAGGCTTAATTCTTGTGATGTTTTAAAAATCGTATCTCCAAAAGTTGATACTGTTCATCTGGAAGTAGTGTTTTCAGCGGGAGAAACATTTCGTCACTCATCCAAGTGACTTCTTCAGCCCCAGCTGGCTGCAGGTTTCCCCAATCTTATACACAGAGTGTCCTCAGCAGCCAGAAGAGAGAAGAATGTGACACTGAGGATGTGGACAAGTGGGCGAAGAATTTGTCTGACAGACAGCTCACCCAAACAGAGAAAAACATCCTTGCTAAAGGGTTGAATTTTCCTGTTACGCCGAGACAAATCCAGCTAGTGGAATTGATCACAGCCACAGAAACAGCAATTCGAAAGAACAATATTAATGAAGTGGAAGCAGAGCAACTACGGATGAAAGTTTCAGCCTGTCTCAACAATCAGCATCACCATGGAGAAGAAGAAGGCACTCACATCACTTAGTAATGACAACAACATTATCACCCTTCCGGCAGACAAGGGTAGGTGCACAGCTTTGCTAAACCAGAATGGTCAATGGTAACTTTATTGTCCC